TACAAGCACTGGGCCGAAGAGTCAGATGGCATCGCCGCCCCGGCCTGTGGTTTTTGGATGTCGGACTTCCAGGGCAAGTAGACTTTATTATTGGGGTATTTAGTATTTAGGGTAATTATTGGGCCATTTCGGGTAATTGCTGTACTGGGGTATTTAGGGTTCAGGGTTTAGGGATCATGCTGCGGCATCATAAAAAAACATCAGCACAAGTCTAGGAGCAAACCAAAGCCACGCCTGATTTCTAAAGCGTCCAAGGCCTCGCTCTGTTTCCAGCTTGTCCTGGCCCACTTGGAACGCGGGAGCTTCGTTCTAGGATTCACCCAAATCCATTGAACCCCAAACCCTAAAACTTTCGGGCCGCCTGACCTGACAAAATCGCCTAGGTTTCGTCCCTTCAACTTCGGAGCAGTGTAGACTGTCGTGGTCGCACCGGATCAGTGCCCGACAGCTCAACGCCGACTTTCAGTTAGAAAGCAGGAACCAAACGGATACCGTAGTGATACCAACGAATTTAGCGAATTCAGCAAGGTATCAGCAGCATCGGTGTTGTCCTCATCCTCATCCCAGTCCCAGTCGAACTAGTTGCGGCAACAGCAGCAACAACAAGTCTTTAAGTGCCATCAACGATCACTTCAAAGACATCAAAAGTGACACCATAACTAGGAGAAGGACTTAGGAGTAGGTGTTCATAGGTGCTGATCAGAAACCCCTACCCTCAGTCAGTCTGTGTGCCATTGTGTGACGAAAACCTCTAGACTCTAGAGCCAGAGACCCTTCCGCCAGGTCCAAAAAGAGACTCTCGTCAGCCGAGTGCGGAAATACATGAAGGCGGCCAAAACGGGATTTAAAAGGTTTCACCCCAGTACCCGCAACCCTGCCGTTGCTCAGCGCTTCAGGTAATGAAGACCGCCGCGCTTACAGACCATAAAGGCATCAAGGACTGCTGGCGCCGAGGTAGTTTTCGTCTTGCACTCCGGGTTCCGCCCTACTGTGCCTTGTGATGATGCATTGCAGCAGTTCTTTCAGGGATACTACACAGTGGTCACTCGACTCCTCGCCTCACCCGAGGAAAGCAAGTCCATCCGTCGCCTACTCGAAGGGGAGGCCTCTTCTGGTGCTCGGGAGCTTTGGAGTCTCGACCTCTCGAAACCTCATGCCCAGGATCCTCTACCACGGTGATTTTTGGTAGGCACCCCGCAACCTTTCGCAATGAGAGGTGGTCGAAGCGCTCGGCACCCCGCAGAAGGAGGACGAGGTGAGTTTCAGCAGAGCTGCAGAGGGCTCCGGGTTTCTGCCTTTACCGCCAAACCCAAATACAATACACACATACATACATACATACATACGTACATACATACACACATAAAAATATGCACATCTCTCGCTCTCTCCCTCTCTCTCTATACATATATAGATATATCTGTATATATATATGTATATACATGCATATATATATATGTACTATATACTATGTATATATATATATATATTTATTATGCATATGTGCTTACATATAGGTCTATCTATGCGTGTGTGTATATATATATATGTATGTATGTACACAGGTACATACATACACACATACATACATACATACATACATACATACATACATACATGCATAAATAAAAATATACACATCTCTCGCTCCCTCTCCCTCTCTCTCTCTCTATACATACATATATATATATATCTGTATATATGTATATGTATATACATACATATATATACACATGTATTATATAATATGTATATATATATATATGCATAGGTGTTTACATATAGGTCTATCTATGTGTGTGTGTATATATATATGTATATGTACACACACACATACATACATACATACATACGTACGTACATACCTACCTACCTACCTACCTACCTACATACATACATACATACATACATACATAGACATATATATATACACACACACATGCTGTTCTAAACCCTGAACTGAAAACCTTCGATACCTGAGAACTCGAAGGTGGACCTGATGCGACTCAGGGTGAAGGCCGGGAGTGCAAACGCTCTCGGTTTGTACTTGTGAATGCAGAGCTATAGCTGTAACATCCATTTCAGTCTCTGGATCCATGGAGCAGGCCATGAACGACAGCGCCGAGGGTTGGGTCACGATTTCGGGCAACCAGGCCCAGCCTCTGTGGAGAATGGCTCCGATGTTTTTGAGTTGGCACGCCTTTCGCAGCCCTTCGCGGAATATGGCCGGTAGAACGAGCCTCAGCCCCTGTTGCTCTCGAAGGGCTCCAGGGCTGTAGTAGACAGACCTGTCCATCGGTCTGCTTGGCAGGGCACGATCTTCCTGAAGGAAGGTGGCCACATGTTCAAGGCCCGGCCCCAAACATGGGGTCGTTAGCGGGAGATCACTGCTTGCAGTGCCAGTGGTAGAAGCCTGGGCTGGCTGGCTGTGATCATGCCTGAGAGCAGAAGGGAATGTGCTGTTGCTGGGCCTTCTTTGAGGAACGGAGGCAGTGACTTGCTGGCCATGCCGTTTTTGCTGGCTGCATGAAGTGAAGTAGTGAGTTACATGGACCTTGCACAGAAACTGAGATAAGTTTGGTAGTGGTGCGGAGCGAACACAGCAAATCTTCATTGGAGCGAAACTCCATACTAGGCTTCGTGTGGTTGCACAGACACTGCAAGGACAATGTTGCCATGGTCGAACTCTCTCTCAGCAGACTATGCGATCCCTAAACAGTGACGGTCGCCTTCGGAAGTCCGCATCCCGCCTGCTTTGCCGCTGGCACATGGCCGAGCGCAAGAAAGCGCGGCAGGCGGTTCGCGAAAGGCGGTGCTGACATGCGAAGAGTTCAGAGGGTCACGATGTTTTGTGCTGGAGTGGTTGCTGGCAGCCTACCTCCTGTGTCAGAACGCTTCGGTCAGGCAGCACAAAAAGAATCCCGTAATCCCTAAGCCTTGCGTGGCTCCTCCTGGCATAGGAGTTTCTCTCCACCAACCCGGGCTCGCAAAAGGAGAACAGAGCCCTGACCTCGCGGGAGGCTGAGGGCCAACCATCAGGGCACCCTCCAGGGCCGACCCCAGGCCGGGACCGGAGTGCCCGGACAGTGCCCGGAGTATCCCGGAGGGCCTAGGGGATCCTGTGTTTCAGAAAAATTAGGGGTGTGGCGGATCGAAGTTTTGGGGACTTAGGGGCGTGCAGCGTTGTCTGCCTTCAGTGCCAGGGCCGGAAGGACTCTGCAGCGAGCTCAGTGCGGGCCTGAGCTCGGAGTCTGGGATCCAGGGCTTCCGGGTTCTGGTGCTGCATGGCCTGAAGAGCAGCTTTCCAAACTCGACTTGAGGTGCAGCCTTTGACCAAGGACGAGGCGTGGGGCCAGCTAATTACATAGTCTTTGAGAGCAGTGTGACTCTTGGCTGATCTGTTTTGGATGGATCAAGACCTCACAGTGCCTCAGAGCACAGATTGCTGTTGAACGTGTGACACGCCCGGTCCAAAGGCCTGGACACTCTGAATCCTCGACTGAACCAACCCCAAACCCCAAACCCGAAGCATCCTACAGCCGAATCTCAAGTAGGACCCCAACATACCATCATGGCACAGGCTGAGCTGGCAAAGTTGCGGCAGGTCAGAGGGGAGCTGGAGGCCATACCCTAAAGTCCTGAAAAAGCCTTCTTCGTGTTGCCTTGGGCTTCCATTTCTTGCGCTTCCGGGCGAGGATTTTTACTAAACCGCGTAAACCCTAAACCCTTGAACCCTAAACCCCTAAGCCCCTAAACTCCTGGCAGGCACAAGGTGCTTTGAAGAAGCTCTCTGACGATGAGCTGGTTGCGCTCGACACCGCCTGGTCCTCGGTTATTTAGGCTTGAGGCCTCAGCTTTAAGGGAAAAAGTTAAACATATTCGGACAAAACGGATACTGCAAATAATAAGAATAGTCAAAATAATAGCAATAACAATAAACTAACAACATTGTTTCTTATTAGCAAAATGATTATTAATAGTACTACGGTAACTATTATTATCATCATTATTATCAGTAAAAATTTTTTCTGTAGTCATTATTACTATTATTGCTGTTCTTCTTTTTTTTATGAGATGGAAACGATGATTGGGGCCGGAATCCGGCCAGATCCAGCAGTTCAGCCATTCTTGGCTTCAGGCCGTTTAGAAGTTCCTGACCAAAATAGGTCTCCGAGCGCTTAGATCTCAGTCTCCAAAATCTCGAGTCTTTAGCTCTAATAGTGAATATAGAACACATTGTCATTATGACTATGCTTATTATTGTGATTATTGCTATGATTAGTGTTATGATTATTGTTAGATTAGGTATATATACATACATACATACATACGTACGTACATACATACATACATACATACACCTTGAGCTGCCGGCCTCCCTCCGACTTCTCAGGCGCCGCGCCCGGAGGACGAGAAGCTGGCGGTCCAGCTCCTCACGCGCACGCCCGAGGCCGCCCTGGGTTATGGGTACAGGTTCGAGTGTAGTTATAGGGTTCAGTTTTGGGGGTTCAGGGTGTAGAGTATAGTTTTCAGGTTTTGGGTTTCAGTTCCAGAGGTTTGCACCGTGCTGTATTTCCGGCCTGCCTCCCCGAACCTGTATGACTTTCCAGTGTTGTCCCCAGGGATCAGACACAACGCCAGCAGTGCCGGCGCAGCTAGGCCAGGTGCTGGGGTACCAGCACCGCATGAACACTGGGAGACTGGGACTTGCAGTGGTCGTAGCTGCAGCAAGCCCTGATGTTTTTTCAGGAGCTCTTGACTCTTTGCAGTTTTCGTCTCCCTGTAGCTCTAAAGCCGAAGGGCAACCCCACTCCCAAAGGCCCAGAGCCCTGAGCGTTTTCCTTAAGCCCATAGGCCCCTGAAGTATGAAACTCCTGGACTCCCTAGGCCTACAGCACCCGAGCTGAAACGTCCTAAACCTGAGTCCCTTGTGTAACAGGTTATCAGTCCCGACAAGGCAGCCAGGCCGCTAGTCTCCCCCCTGGGGTGGCTGCAGGACCAGCGGTTGCGCTCATGTCGATGTGTTTCTTGCTCCAGCCAATAGAGAGTTTGGAGCCTAGGATAGCCGTCATGTAGCGTGCGATACAAAACAACATGGTATAGAAGTACCTGGAGATCTCGAGCTTGTGGGCGGCATTTTGATGTGCGGCAATCAGAAGCCCAAAAGATGACCTTGAAGGAATGGTCCCATTGCTAACAACGGAGGCCAGGAGCTGGGAGAGGACTCGCTGTGCACAGCGGGCATGATACCGCAATGATATCATAGTACTGGTAGTATTTTCTGGTAAAGCTTTGTAAGGCTGAGCACTATCGGCACTGACGACCGCCAACAGTCTCGGCCTTCTCACGGCTTGCAAGACTGTAGCATCGCAATGTTCGTTGGCCTGTTGCAACAAGCTGCATCCCTTGGCCCCGTTTTGGTAGAGGTGTTTCGAGGGTTTGGCATGCACAACGCCCAGACAGGCACCCCACACGCCATCCGGAGCGTATTGTGTGGTCCCTTGGCAGCTGCAGGCCCGCCCCGCAAGACGTTCCAGACTTGCTGAATCAAGACCGACCTCCCCCTCTCCCGTTTCTCTTAATTTGTTTGACACTCAGCTGGTCGATTTTGAAGTCAGGCACAGAATGCCATGGCTGCACCTCCCGTCCAGCAGTACAGCAACTGGGCTCGGTACTGAACGTATGCACATGTGACCAGCTCTTTTCCGCATCACGTCCGCGCAGTCTGCGCCGCAAGATTGAGACACTGTTTTGAATCCAATCCAATCAGATCACCAACCCCAGGCCCCTCTATTACTTTGCCCCAAGGTGATATCCTCAAAGAGGTTGCCGGCACCAAGGGCCCGCAAGTGCCTGTGGCACCCATCTCGCTGAGTGCCTTGGCCAAGGTTTGCCGCTTGAAGGCCCCGTAAACAGGCCTGAGACGAGGATGTTGGGTTTGTTCGGTGTCGCAGGATTTCTGTGTCCTTGTTCGACACAATTTTACATGTTTTTCATAATAAACCCCTAGTAAGGATTAAAAATGATCATGTTTCATATGGCCCCAACAGGGAAGCAGATTTAGGGGCAGAGCCGAGCTCCGGTGTTTTAAACCACTTTTCAGAGTAGCCATCTCGGTGTGGACTCGTGGGAACCAGTGCCAAACTCCAGCAGCCCAGCCAGCGGACCTCGAGGCAAATGGCCCACATGTCAACACACAATTGGGTCGCTGGGTCGCTGCCACTTAAACTCAGTAGTGACGCAGCTTCTGAAGTCGCTCCGTGAGCCCAGTCGCTATCCCAATCCGGAAATCACCAGAAGACCAAGGTTACGAGTCCGTCCTGTCCCAGACAGTGGGCCCGGCAGCACTCGACTTGGACGCGCAGTGCTCCATCACGGCCCGCCAGGGAGCAAGGATTTGGCTAGTGACCTGCTCGTGTGACGGATTCGTGGTTCACCAGCTTTGCTGCGGAAGGTGAGTGGCATGCGAGGTTCAAGTTCTCCTTGAGTGTCGAAGACCCCAAGCCTTAAGCAGGGCTTACTGTTCGTGCCAGGAATTCGGCCGGGAGATCGCCGAAGCTCGGAATATGTACTCGAATCAAATGACCCAGGCCTGCAGAGGGGGATTTGGGCTTTGGAGTTTCGGGGGTAGGCCTGCCCTTTCAGCATGCCGGAGATCTATGTATGCTAGCATAAACATGAGTAATCAACAGCCTGTATCCCTAGAGTCCCATAGAGACAAGCACTATGCTGTCGTCTTGTTCTTTGCGACACGGAGGAGCTCTAACAGCGCACAAGGCCTTAGGTCCTAAACCTCTGAAGCAACCTGCAGTTTGCGTAAGCCAGGAAACTCCGAAACACCCCAACAGGGTTCCTAAATCCCAAACTCCCAAACTAGCTCCCCCAAACTGCCAAAAGTCTTAAAGTTTACTGAGAAAGTCCCATGGCAGGTCGAGTTGCCACCGGGTCGGCCCGACTACGGCCGACAAATTGCAAAGCTTGAGCTTCCACCGGGCAACGTCTGGGGCTGGTGAGCCCGGCTTGGCTTTGCTTCGTAGGTGCAAGAGCAGCGGAACAAGAAGGGCACTCACTGAATGATACCTGAAGGAGTACAGTATCAACGACACTATGGCGAGCATGATGAAGAAGATGACGATCTCTGCAAATGCAAGAGTCACAGTCAGTTGTAGTGCGAATAGTACGTACAGAGCACTGGCACACGACGGCCAGGTAGTAGCACCAGCAGGAGGCGCACTGAGAAATTGGATGAAATGGAGTGACAAAATCAACTAAGCAGTTTTCATCCAAGAAAATATCAGTTGCAGACGGTAAAGTGAATTGAATTACATCTGCTCTCACAACAGAACTGAACAAGAGATAACAGGACTAGGCGGCGGCAACAGGACGATACCAACCTATTGTAATGTGCTGATCGGACGCATCGATACGGGGCAAGGGCATTGAACCCGCAAGATAGGTAGGAGATACAGCAGAAACACGCACACATTGACATAAATGATAGTACAGCGGATTGACACGACACTTGCCACGAAAGTCGCGCTACACATTCATAAGAACCCTACACCCACGTTGACCCAAGACCCTGACCCCTGGTGCGTGGCAGGCAAGCGCAGATGCAAGCAAAGCAGCGGCTGGATGCACCGCAGCTGCACCGTAAACACTCCTCCAATTGGCGCTTCTCGGGTTGCCCCCCCCCTCCGGAATCAAGATGAGAGGCGTCGACGCAGCGAGAGGGGCACTGTGGGATTCGGGGCTCCGCCATTCTCCAAGCCCAGCGAGCCCGATCGTCGGGAGGCAGCAATCCAGACCAACGTTAACATCCGGGAGGCCTGGCGACGGATCAGATGTTGGAGAGTTTCATCTTGTAAATAGGTTTCGACCATTTCCCGCGCGTTCTGCGTGTAAGGGCGAGCTTGCAAATCACCAGTAACTTGTGTTTTTCAGGGATGGTCTCGTCTCAAAGGCAGCTGTACGTGATTGAATGCATGGCCGCCTCGGTTGCTGCGAGTCTCTCATTTTGAAATGGAGGAGTTCTAGCGAAATGTTGGACTGAAGCATGTGGGCTCGAGCCTCTTCGGCCACTCTCTTCTCTCTCCCAAGTGGCGATGATTGCAGCGGCCGAGTCTGCCGCATGGCTCATGTCGGATTGAATCTGAAAGCCAAGCGGCCGTGATGGGTTTGGCTTGGAGTGTTTCATGTCCTGAACTTCGCGACCTTGAGGATTGTGGGGGGATACAGCAATTGTGGATTTCATCAAAGCTCCGGAGCTTTACCGAAAGATAAACGACTCCTTGCAAGAATCGCTACAAAAAAAGCTTCTGTACTTCCGTCTCAGTTACAGTTGTGCGAACTCGGCTTACAACCAAGTTGGTCGGAAGGGATCAAGGTATATGGGGTCAGCCTCTCCACTCTACTTGCGCCGCTTCTTGCAGTCGATAGCGGAAATGCAATGCACCAGAAGCAGCCAACAACGAACAGCTCTCAACAGCTGCCACCAGCAGCAACCAACAACAACCAACAACCAACAATCCACCACCACCACAACGGCAACCCGAACCACAGCGACAGCGACAACGACACCGACCGCAGCAAGGACCACGGCAACCGGAATTCACCTCCAAGCTTACGTAGCCGTAGCCCGATGGGAGACCCCCACCCGGACCCACAGGAAGCCCAAACTCGAAGCCTTGAGACGCCCGAAGTTCTTGAAGGGGAGGAAAGCCTGCATCTGCCTTTCGAGGTCGCAGCCGTCCAGTATCCCGAGTATTCAGAGGCTTGTGCTCCGTACCCGCATCTCCTCGGAAGGGCAGCACCGCGGGAGCCCCAGCACCCCGAAGGTCTGGAGGGTTTGGAGGTGCTTTCCGGGAGGGCTTAAAAGGGAAGTTGGGAGTTTCAAGGCCGAGGCTTCGAGCTCTCTGAGGAAGAATTTGGGTTTCCGGCTCCGGTCGGAAGTTGGTTGCCGCCTGACGGCTGCTTCTGTGCTGAGTAGGGTTGGCTTCGCGGGGTGGTCTGTGTGCGTGACAAGGACAAGAACGTGCCAGCATGAAGTTCATTTTCAAGATTCCCCCCTCCTCCTTTATTGGACGACGTTTCCACTGCTGGCTCGTGCGCCCTCCCGTCCTACATCCACCGCCCCAAAGGCCCCAAACTGTACAGTGCAAAGCCCGGTCCCAGGATGGAAAACGTTTGGCAGCCTCCTACCTGCCAGCCTGCATGCCAGCCTGCGTGCCAGCCCATCATCTCTGTGTACCTGGGCATCACGAACTTGAGACACCCTCTTCGCTGCTGGCTGCATCCGGTTTAGGATTTCGGGCCACTCCAATCACAGTCGTCCAGCCAGGAACCGTTGCAGAAGATGAAGTCTTGTGAGCGGGAGTTGAGATGCGAGCAGGCCGACCGTGCTGTCTACGCAGCCATCGAACAGCTACATGGACCCGTACATGGTGCCGTTCCCACAGGCAGGAGCCGATGAGGCAGGAGACAAACCCCCCCGAATTGCATTCACTTGATCAGGGGCCTCCGGTGATGGCGCCGAACCCTGCCTACCCGTATGCTATGCCGCCACCTCCGCCACCTCCACCCCAGGCCAGTGGGGAGTCAAGCCGTCCAGTAGGCACCAAAGTTGAGTGCATGTTTTTTGGAACTCGCCTTCGCTACGTAGTGACGAGCTTGGCTGTCATGCACTGCTGCATGTCCCCTGAGTAAAGGCAGGCTACACGGTCGTGCACGTCGTCCCTGTTGAGCCGCCGAACAGCTCGAGTATGCCTCCTCCCCCTGCTACAAAGCATCAACTGCTCCTGGGCATGCTTTGTCAAAGACCGGTGCAGAGTTCATGCAGTGTAGCTCATAGATGCAAATAAGCTACAAATATGAATCTGGCTCCACACGACAACTTCGCAGTCCGGGGCTTCCTGCTTTCAAAAGCAACACCTACGGTAGAGAATTAAAATCGCCCCACCGCGGATCAGGGTCACACTCACACCAAGCGCCTCAACGATGCAAGCAGGAACATGTCGCCGCTGTCGTCGCCATCGTCAGTCACACTTCCGTCATCATGGTCTCGGTCGTCGAGGTGGTCGTCCTGGTTGTCAGCTGCACCAGATCGCCATCGGCTTCACATACTAATGCACGACGAACAGCAAAACCACGGTCGACTCATAATGCAAGCATTCATGGTCAAGGAAGAAGAAGCCGCAAGATCGAGTGACACATGGGACACATTTTCAGGAGAATTTTAGGTTCGCAATGACGAAATATCACAACTACAGTCCCGTTTTTGCCATTGGCGTTCCAGCTGTTCCATCACACGGTTTTGGTGATGCTAGCTGGTCACGACCGAACAGATGAACATTAATCCATAGATAACTTGACCTAAAAGCCCGTGCCAAAGCCTTCACAGCTCCGAACCCCCAAGGGCTGCCTCAACTTAGGCTCCTGGATCCCTTCCTGCAACCGCCGAGTGAGGGTGAGGCGGCTTTGCTGCCTTGTGCCTTCCGGGTGAGGGGTGGGCTCCGCATCATGAGAGTCTCGCGCTAGGGCCATGCTGGTTCTGTCAAGCAGGCATGGGCGCCCAACTCGGACGAGCCTTCCCAAAAGCCGGACGAGACGTCCAGCTCAGGCGCATCATGAGAGTGACCTTGCGTGCCTGTTGTTCCGCAACGGTTTCTCTGTGCAGCGCAACAAGTGGTCAAGAGGGCATCCTGGCAGAGATTCATGAAGACAAGAGCCTGCTTGTCAGGACATCACCGGCCAGAGTGGCTTGGATGCACACCTCGGCGATCAAAGTGGTATCGCTGAAGCCCGTAGAAAACATGACTTGATTGCAGCAGTTCCTGCTGGCAACATAGAAATTCCTGCAGCGGCCAAGCAGCAGTTTTTGCATCTTTCAGAACCTTGAGGCTGCAGGTTTCAGGTACCACTGCACCATCTTCGGTTCTGGACCTGAGGCTCAGCTAGAGGTCCAGCCCGAAAGAGTCAAGTAACAGTTGCCAAATTTGATCATGAATCCAAAAAGCTCCAGCCCTGTGAAGCCTAAGCCTAAGCCCACCTGGAAGCTGCCGATCCAAGAGCCAGAGCTCTCAACCCCAACCCCGAAGTGATCGGGCCTTTCGAGGCCGTCTTCTCATCGTGCGGGCTCTTCCCGCAAGGTGGCAGTTGCAACAAAGTCAATGGCAGATGGTCAGAATAAAGTCTAAGAAAAGTCCAAGAGTATTGCTAATGATTCATCCTATATTAGAGATTCGGGGGCCCCTTTTGAGATTCAGGGCTTGCAGGGGTCCAAGGACCATGCTAGTCCAGTACGTATAAAATCGATTCAAGCACTAGCCGCAGTTCGCGTGCTGCGATTGAAGCACTCCCGATGCAAGCACCGTGCACGAATCGTCTCTTGAATGTTACCTGTGCCAGTACCGTTTATGGTCCTCATCTGACACCCAAGTCCGCCAACAAGATGAATTTGAAGTGCATTCGTCAGCCCACTGCCTGAGTCCGAATCATGTCTCGTACTAGTTGAGTTTAGGACGTGTATGGTTCCAAGGCCCTGTCCGCGGTCAAAGGGTAGCATCAAGTATGCACCCGAAACCTCAGACCCAACTTGCCTTGACCCATGTACTACAACACCAAGTCGTGTATGTCACAGGAGATCTGAAGAAAGCCACGAAACGCCTTCCGAACTGAGAGGTGTTGGCTCCTGGCCTGGTGGGCGTCGAAGCTCCGAAGGAAACACTGGAAGATGGGGTTTTGGGTATACTATACTATAATAACAATAATGTAACCCCCCAAAATGGCCGCGAACTATGGACCCCTGATAGATGATATAAGGGTTTTCCATAGGGGACCGGTAAGAGGCAAAGAAGGGGGGGGGGTCTGAGCTCGAAGTGATTGGAAAAAGGATTTCGATTTTGTTTGGAGGATAGACAAGTTCGGGGTTTGACACCCACCCCCACCACCACCACGCCTGCCAAAGCCGCCAATTATAATCTGCAAATGACGTGGCATTGCGAATGTATGCCAC